AACCTGGAGACTAAAGCAGATATGAAGAAAACCAAAGCAAAGTCACTTTATGTTTGCAGCTTAGAAAGTAAGATGAAGAATGCAAGGGAGATGAAGATCAAGAGAGCAAACAGTTTGACTTCATTATAGACAAGGAAGGTTCTGCTTGTCCCAGACTGCTGGAGCCCAAGTACGTGCACGGTGCAGCTTTGTTGACCCTGATGTTCTTCAGGTAATATTTCATACAATAAAATAAGTGACAACATTCACATGAGTTCGTGTTTTGGAATAAAGGCACCAGAGCTGCTTGGTTACTGCAGCTTCCCAGTGAATTGCTTTTTCTGCGGGTTGCCCTGAAGAGCCCCGATCAGAGCAAGGTGGTCCCTGGGTTTATTGATCAAATCTGGAGGAAAAAACAATGCCTCTGCACTATGCTAGAGGGTAAGGAAGTAGCACACAGACTCATGTCACACCAGATTAAATCCTTACAATACTGTGCCTGGGTGTACTCTGCAAGAACACCCTAGTCGGATACGAGCGTTACTACAGGCTCCTAAATGGATTCTGCACCTACCGGCAGCTGGTGCTTCTCTTGACTGGGCTGGCTCATTAATCCATGATTTTACAGAACTAATGCTGCACTCTATAATTTGAATACTTGACTACTTATCACTTTTATGTCTTCTGTCAATAAGCCGGTGATGATATTCCACAAGTTTGTAATTGCTCCATTTAAAATCCTGTGTTGTAGTTTATTCATTCTTTCCCTAATGGTGGCCGGCAGCAATTCCAACTTCTGCACCAGCACCTTCTGGTAGTAGTTTAATAATTTATGTCCTTTGGTTCTGAGAAGCCTCATCAAAGTTCTAGCAGAGTTACCTAGAAGAAAAGACCATCAGAATATTGCTTGAGATGAATGGGAATGTATGGTATATCAAAAAACAATGGAGCATAAGACAACACATACGCTCCTAAAGACACGACAGCAGGAGATCAGCTACTGCATGAGGCAGAGCGTTCTGCAAGATAATAAGGAAAATGGTGGCAGTGATGTTGCTGGCTAAAAATACAGCATTTGAGGCCATTAAAATAAAGAAAAAAGAAAAGTGGCAAAACAAGTGATGTTTATGCTGTAAGTTTCTATTATATGTTATACCAAAAAACTTCAGTATATTAATGTAAATCGGGACATTCTTAAGAAGAACAGAAGTAGGCAAAATCCTATAAATCAACATCATGTAAGAACAGTCTGGGCTAGGGAGATAGCTCAGCAGTCTAAGTGCCTTCCTGGCAAGTACAAAGACTTGAGTTAGATCCTTGATACTGCATGTCATGTCAGAGTAGTGGCAGATGCCTGTAATCCCAGTGCTGGGGAGGCTGAGACAGGAGGACCACTATGAGTCTGAACTGCACAATGAGACCCTGTATCCAATTAATTACTTAATTAATTAAAAAGAACACTTTATGACAGATACTTCTGAAGGATTAGATTTCTTCAGAACATTCTTTAGGAAACACAGCACAAAGTAAAGCCCTGAAGGCAAGATAATGTTTAGGTAGAGTCTTGGGGAGGATGCTAAAAATGAAATTTTTTTCTTTCTTTTCAGTCAAGAAAAAATGGGGATGATGTCGCTGAGGCTGTGACATTGCAGTTGGTCCCTGAAAGACATGGAAAATGAGGTAAGGAGAGCGGTGATCAAAGAGACGGCAGAGCTAGAAGGGAAGACCTGGAGTTGGCTGATTTTCCATAAAGAGGAGTCATTCTGACACTACTTTACTCTACAAGACTACGATGATGATATTACCTACCAATGACGGGGAAAGAGAAACACAGACAATTTGGCTAGCAAGACCTGGAAGATGAGGGGAGTCATATGTAGAAGACAGAAGCGAAGAGTCATTTGGGGCCTGCTGCATCAGTGGCAAAGAAGTTCTGGGTTCAGGCCGGGGCAATAGTTCAGTGGGATGGCACCTGCCTGGCAAGGGCAAGGTCCTGAGCTCAAGTCCAGGTACCAAAAAAAAGCGGGGGAGGGGGGAATTTTGAGCAAAATTTTTAAAAGAGAAAAAAAGAGATGACAGGAAAGAGGAGAACTCTCAGGGAAGAGGAAGAGGATCAAGCAGATGTGGGAAGGAAACATGGGGGAGATTCACAAAGTGTGTTACATGCATAGATGAACATGGAAAGCAAAATTCACTATCATGCAAGTCAATGCAAGTAATAAAATAAACTTAAAAAAGGAAAAATGGGGGGCTGGGGAGATGGCTCAGTAGAATAAGCACTTGTCTGGCAAGCATAAGGGCCTGAGTTCAATCCCCTCCCCCTAAAAAAAGGAAAACTGGAATTTGATCCTAGAGATTAGAAGGCATCTCTGATGAAACAACAAAAATTTAGCAATTCTCCTCTTGTAGGCAATATCCAAAGTATATGGGAAGGGCCGGCCAAATAGCTCAGCGGATTAAAGCACCTCCAAACAGACACAGGGGCCAGGGGTTCGATCTGCAGGCCTTCTGTGCTGGCCTCACCCCTGGGGCACGTTGAGAGGGTAATTGAGACTGGGTGTGGTGGCACATGCCTGTAATCCCAGCTCTTGGGAGGCTGTAAACAGGAGGATCACTATGAGTCTGACCCTAGTAGTGTAGACCCTTCC